TATGCAAAAAATCGTCACAAAAATTATTTTTAGTGACGATTTTATTAGGATTTATTTTCAATAGAACTTGATAGGAATCAAGTCAAACTATTAGGACCTATTGATAGTTTACCTAAAAAAATTAAGATTTTAGAGACCAAAATTTAAGGACACAATTATAATTTAGGGACTAAATATTTTTGTTATGAAAAGTGGTGCTATTATATTTTTAGCAACAAAAATTAGATATTAGTAATGAATTATTATCCTTTTATGACCAAATTTGTCGTAAAAAATAAACCATTTTGAGATTAAATTATTTTGTTCCAGAAGTTTATTTATTAGTGACATTTTTAAAATTTTGTTACTAAAAGCCTTGTTTTGACTTTTTGAGTCGATTTTTTAACGACTATACTCATAACGATAGAAATCGGTCCTAAATATTTTTTGTAACAAAATTTTCGCTTTAAGAGAACAAAACATTTAATTTTTAAAATTCTTATATGTTATTGTAATAGTAAAAACAATAAAACCATACCAGGCAAAAATGAATTGAATTACCTTGGGAAAAGAAACCGTGATAAACAAAATAGTGTATGTACTAGTTATACCCTAGCATATCATATCTATGAATTAAGTTTCCATCCTCAAGAAATGCAATAAACCACCGCCGGGTGGTGGCCTAGTGGAGAAGGTACTCTTCTCTAGAGGTGTGACTCAGGTTCGACTTTTGGGAGGCGAAATGCTGGGTAATTACGGTAGTTCTTTACGGAGACCTCGCTCTGTATTCCAATCAAATCTTGGGCTCGTTTGTGGCATATGGTCGAGCTCCATTAATGCAGAGTGACACCCCGAAGTATCTTTTTTCTGACAAAAAAAAAAAAAGAAGTAATGTAATAAATAAACCAGTGAACATGTTTTCCCCAATGACTGGATAAATATCAGTCCAGTTAAAAAAGCAATGAAAAAAAAAAAAAAAAAGATTAACAGAATAATATATATGTAGTCTGTAGAGATGCTACCTGGGCATGTCATAAAATTCCTGTGTTTGGTTTCATAAAACTTTCTTGTCGTGCATCTTTTGGAATAATGTCCCAATAATTGCAGGCTTTCCAAACATATCATTGGAGGAAACTTTTAAATTTCATTCCTGGATACAGACTTTTGAAACTTTCCTGTTTATTAAGGTTTAACACAAGAAGTACCTCACCTCGACCCTACAATGCCTAATAGACTTACCTCCTGGGAAAATTTTATTCAAAATCTGTGCTTTTTCCAGAAATAAAATATGTGATTGCCCGAATTGTCTTGTAAAATTAAAATGTGTAATATAACATATGTTTACTAACAGAACTAAAACCAGAAACTCATCAAATAAAATACTTGTCATAAAGTTCTCAATAGCTCCTTCACAACTTTTGGCGTCATTGACATCACTTGTGGGGCACTAAAAGGTTGGATCGAGTATTCCCGATACATTATTATCATATTATAGTAGATTTCTTTCATATGGAAAAATACATTTTACCCACTAGTTGATGGTCCATATGAAACAAATGATATTTAAGAAAACATTTTTACTATGATGGACATTGTTAAATACATAGCAACACACTAGTTGATGGTCCCCATTATTGATCCATTGTTCTGAAAATATGCTCAGCATGGTAAGAAAAATTATTAGTTGGTTCAGGGATGTCATGTGACCATACCTCTTACCAATCACAATTCATCATGCTCTCTCATATTTCTCAATCACCCAACACAAATTTATGGGTCTCACTCCCTTCACTAATTACAATACTGTTGGAGCACCATCTAGCAGTACCCCAAGACCAACCAATAACTTCTCGTATGATAGTCATGTCCATTTGATTTCAATTGAAGTCTACTCTACAAATACTACTAGAAAAAATTGCTCCCGCTATAACAGCAAAATAATGACTCATCAACCTATATTTTTGGCTTCTAAATAATATGAACTTTTTTTTGAGTATTCCTAGCAAACATGACTATTGCATTACCACAATAACTTCAATTATGTACCACATAATTCATCAAAACAAGAAATCATGCTCAAATTAAGCAATTTAAAGGTGTTAGCAGTGAAGTACGTAACTTTTTTGCCACTATACTTAGTCAAAGTTGCTATAATACAAGCACTATGACACCAAGTACACAAAACAAGAAAATATATTCCACCATGTCAAGTCAATGTGATGATATCAACAGTGAACGATGTGAAAGAAACAGAACTACAAGCATAAACTTCATTCAAGTATGGAAAGTTATTTGTAGAAGAAAAGTGATCTTGAAAATGTCACTTTTCCTTCAAATAATGCGTTGACCCTAAACACTGCACTTAGCCTTCTAGTGAAAACCCTAGAAGGCTAAACAATGCAACATGTGCCACCAATAAGATAAAATTCCTTTGTAATGGAACAAAACAATGAACACATTACACAATGGCACAAGGCGATCAATCATTAGAAATAATATAAAATCATATTTAATGATTAATCATTGTAAACTGAGGCCAACAAAAAAATGTTCTCTCTAATTGATCAAACAAATAAACACTTCAACATAATGCTGGTCACATCCCAATATACCAAAACAACTATATCTCATTAATTATAGAACTCATCATTGGATACATGAATATTAACAAATTGGTCAGAAATTCAATTTTCAACCCTTCAAAATCCAAAAATCTCTTGGACAATCTTCACTGTATTTAATGAAATAAATGATATTTGTGTACTAAATAACAAACGGAATACAAAAGAAATATAGGAAATAAGAGAGATTGTTTGATTGCAAAAATCAAACCAATAAATATAAATAAATAAATAAAAACAGATTTTTATTTTGTTACAAAAACAAAATCAAAATCTGATTTATATAAATAAATAATAATAAAACAGAAAATAAATTAACAACTTACTTAATTAATTTCTTGAACAAACTTTTGATCAAGTCCAGTGTTTAACACTGTGTCCTTAAGACAGATTTGTCCTCTCCACGGTGCTTTCAAATTGTGGACGTCTATCTCCCAAGATAAAATGATCAACAGCAAACAATAGCAGCACTACAAATTGTTTGCACAACGAACACACTAAGTGTTTACACTCTATACTCTTTCTCACAGAAATTTAATGCAGCAAAATGCAGAGAATTATTGCACAGGAGAAGTACGAAAATTGGAGTGGAAAAACAAATGAGGGACTTGTCTCATTTATAGATGATTGGTGACTGTTTGGTTTAAATTTAACAGGTATGGTAGAATTTAAATTCAAATAGGTAAGGGTTTTTCTTGAACTAAACTGTTCAGACAGATTTTTGAAATCTGTATAGAAGGTTTAGACAGATTTGAAAAATTTCCAACGACTAAAATTTGAATTTAAATCGTCAGATTTTATTTTACCAAAAAATAAAATAAAATTCAAATGTTTTTGGCTCAAAAAGATAAGTATTGGGCCGAACAAGCCCAATCTCACACCACACATCCGCACCTAAGGCCAGGCCGGACGGCAGCGCGCGTGTGGTTATTTTTTGGTCTAATCAGTCTAGCCCAATTTGTCCATAACCTCTCATTTTTACAAACTTGGGGTACCCTTAGGGCCCTTCCCAAGTTATAATTCCAAACTTTACAAACCCATAAATTTCTTCTTACCAAACCAATGTGGGACAAGCTTTTATTCAAACCTTTAAGGATTTTCTACCAAAACTCTATTTCCATAGAGCACACTTTGACTTCAATTTTCCATTCACCCGATAATGGTTTTGAGCAACCAAATATACTACATGAATCACAATATGGCATAGAACACATTACCACACGAGTCCTACCTAAAAATTAGACCAAAGTTTAGAAAAAATTTTGTTTTTTTTCCAGATTTTTTCAAAACCATTTCTAACAAAATCAACACAAGGTGCAAAAGAATAAGCAAGTAAAGCCAATGTCACTCTTCAAGTTGAATTGAATCAATTTGTTTCCATTATGTCCTACCACGAGTTCAATCTCATTCATTAAACACCAACCAGAACCACAGTTAGTCACATTGCTCAACACCCACCATGTGACCCATCAAGACCCAAATTGACCATCACATGCAAAATTTCTACAGGCATATAAGGCACATAATCAGTAGGTAAACAAGACCCAAATAAAAAAGGTAATAAATAAACAAAGAAAGAGTGCATGATCACTTACAAAAACATGAACCCACATATAATCAACAAACAAGAATAAAAAAAACAGAGACTATAAACAAGAATACAAACTTCTCCAATGTCTTCTTGAGCTTGGGATTCTCTTTACTTTCAAGTTTGATTAACAAACAAAAATAGTCTGTCCTCTCATGCACCATTAGCAGATAACAAAAGTCCGACAAATTAAATTGTAATTTATGTTCCAATTGAGGGGTCATTTCGAAACTAAATTTAAAAATATATATTTTATTAAGAAGAACCCATTTGGACATGTTCATTTCTCATTTTTTTTTTAAAAAAAAGTTCAATTTAAATTATTCTAAAAAGTTTTAAAATATATTGAACAAATTAACTTTTTAGTACAGTTCAAAAAAAATTAACTTTTTAGTATTAATTTATTTTTAGTCAACAAACTAATATTTTTTTAGCTAGATTTCAAAGAAAGGTATATTGAGCCTGTTCAAAAAATAAAAGGAAAAAAAAAAGGGGGGAGGGAGGCAAAACATTTTCAAGCATTTTTTTTTTTTTTTTTGTGGTGCTTTACCTCCCAATTCAAATCCTAACCGTAATATCTCTCCTACCCAGCCACCAGCCACAAACACCATCTTTATAACTCCAGCTACTCTCCACTTCATGCCTTCCCACTCTCAACCTTGCTCAACTCCTATTCACTCTTCTATACCTTCACCTAGCCTCTTCCACCTTCTTACACTACTAGAAATATCACTTTTTGCGTCTATATTTTTGCGACTGATATTTGACCGTCGCAAAAAAAAAATATCTGCAACGGCAAATCAGCCCAAAAACTTTTGAGCCCACTATTGGGAACCACTCGGCCCAATTTATATTTTCCTTCATTTCCCCCAAATATGATCGTGTAAAACTTGCCCTAAACTCTCATTTCCCCCAAATATAATTTCGCTTGATCGTGTCTGAGGAAGAGAATCTGATTTGCCTCTGTCAATTTCGCTCTATAGATCACCATGGTCGTCTGAAGAAGATATCTCCAACGGTATGAACTCTCTCTCTCTCTCTCTCTCTCTCTCTCTCTCAGTGAGTCTCTTGATATCATTCATTTGTATTTCAACTTTTTCATCTCTCTACTTCGTCACTTGAACTCAGTGAACTCACTGTAATTCGTATTCAACTTCTTCATCTGAACTCACTGTAATTCGATCACTTTTTCGTCAATTTATTGATTTTTCCACCAGGTAGTCTGATTTTGGAAATAAGCTTTGGTTTGAATCAATTTGCTACAGGTACAAGCTTCGGTTTCGCCAATTTATTGATTTTTCCTCACTGTAATTCGTATTTGAACACACACACACACACATATATATGTATGTATGTATGTATGTGTGTGTGTATGTATATCCTTCTTCTCATAAATTTTGATTTCCTTACCTGTTCTATTTTCGATATGAAATTGAATTTATTTCATGATAGCAAAAAGTATGTATGAAATGGTTGTGCATGCTCCAATTTATTATTTGGTTGATGCAAAATTAACCAGTTGGCCAAATTAGTATCCTAGTGAAGTCAGTTAGCAATAATTTGTTGCTAGCATTTTGATAATTCCCTGCTTTGACTGTGTTGAGATTCACAGTTAATTAAAATTATTATCAACATCATCATCATAGAAATATGTTCTTTGAGCAGTTAGCTTAAAATATGTACCCCACACGAATGAATCATTTGATTTATGTGAAAGGCATTGTGAAAATTTTGAAAAAAACATTCCATTGGAAATTCTTGTAATTGTTGGCCATTATCTTGTTTTTAGAGACTGAGATTTATGTTTTTTTTTTTTTATTTAAAAAAAAGTTATTTTATCTATTTTTAATTGCTGGTGATAAACGTGCACTTATTAAAAGGTTGTATCTAGTGCACAATGTTCTCACTTATTTACAAAAGAGTTTGGGATAAGTAATGGATTTGAAGAAGAGGAATTGGTTATTTGTTTTTTAATAATGGATTGGTGATGAGTCTTTATAAGCTGCAAGTTGTGGAATGACTAGGCTTTACACTACCAACGTGTTTAACATTTGAATGACTTGCATTATATTGCTTTTTAATTGATGGAAATTGATATAAAATTTGCATATAAAAGGAAAATTATTGAGATATTTAAAAGGGTGAAGTATTCATTAGTGAGATTAGGAAAAAATTATTTATAAAAAAATTATGATTTTAATTATTAATATTTATAATGTTTATCATATTTTTGTAAATATTTTTTTAATCCTTCCCTTATTTAAATGGTGTACTATGACAACGTAAATTATCATAAAATTTTGAATAATGGAGAGCAACACTGTTACGATTATTAAAAATTGTAAATAAATGTGAGAGTGAACAATTTTGGTGATGGAGATTTTCGATGCTAGTATATTTTTTCTTTAGTCATTGGTCTGCCTAGATACGAAGAAGAAAAGAAAAAGAAAAAAAAAACATTTTCAACAATATGATTCATTGATTCATTTTCTGTAGGCCTTCATGAACTTGTAACTGTGTTATTTTGATGTGCACCAAAAAGAAAGTATTATTTGAATACAACTTCTGAACTATCTCTTTATTCTCTTTTACTTTCTATTCATTAAATTACAGTAGATTTAGAACGTATGCATTTATTTATCATTATTCCTTTTAATTTGATGTAGGTGTCCTTTTTAAAGAACCATGTTAATATTGCTAGTGGGACACCAAGCAGGTAAGTGATCTTAGTTTGTTTTTTTATTTGATGTTTTGTGAAGGCATTGGCAATTTGGCCTAGTCTTTGTTTTGGGAGCTAAATTTATAAGGCAATGTATTTTAGTTGGAATAAGGTTAAGTGAGAGTAATAAATTGATAGTGCTGCAAGCATTGCACTAGGGCGTGATTCTCTTACCCTTTCTGATCAAACCTACATGCCAATTTAGGTTTCTTCATTTGGTATTTCTGATCAAACTGATGTTAAGGGTTATTCCTTATTAACACTTCCTCGAGTAAGGTTTGACTATAACTTTACCAATTTCTGTCCTTGTTTTCCTTTTACCATTGTCATCTTTTATGTTATTTCTTTCCTTGTCATAAACATTGTTAATTTAGAATCCAGAACAACCACGTCTTTGTCATAAATATTGTTAACTTGTTTCTCATTTATTTGTGTCGTGTGACAGAGATGAGTTATGGGACTTGTATAAGAACCACTTGCACCCACGACTAGTTCAAGGTGATCTTCGTATCTGTCTCTATGGTCTGATACCAATTAGCTCCAAGGTAAACAAGGAAGTTACTAGTGACTGAACAACATCATATTGAGGTGTAGCTCAATAGTTGACTTTGTTGTGCATGTTGGCATCTAGATTTTTGTCTGTCTATGTGTGGTTTTGGATAATCCCCTGAAAAATCTCTCTTTTAGATGTGGACTCATTAACCTTTTTGCTTTTTATCTCAACTAATCTATGGAAAGGACAATCAATGGAGATTGGGAAAGAGAATCCAGATATATTTTTTACAGATGGTGAAGGAAGGAGAAGTACTGAATGCCTATCTTGGGGCATTGATAAAGAACGAGTACTAAAAGGAAAAAGTGCTATAGAGGTATTACATTATCAATTATTTTTTGGTACTTGTCATCTCTTCTTATTCTGAACAAAATTTTTGAAATTTATCAATGTCATCTCTTCTTATGCACAGGCCCTTTAATACTATCAGCTTAGTATTGTTCTTTGTAACTTACCTTAATTAAATTGAACATGCTTAATTCTCTTCTGATATATTTAAATCTGGTTGTGTCGTTGATAACATTAATCTTTTTAGACCTTACCCCCTATTTTATCACTTTCCTGTCAATCACGTTCTAGCAAACATTTCACACTTGCATGTATGTCATCAAATATTTCTGTTGGAGTTTCTAAATAAATGCTTATGCTTTCTCTCATTGAAGTACTACTGAATCCCCTTGTTATTTGTGAGTTTACATCTGATTTAAAATGCACTTATCATCAAATGTTGCTTGTTTTCCCCAGGGGTCATCAATTGGACTAATTAAGTCAATGCAGCCGGCTATCAGCAATCCGGCATCTGCTGATTCCGTGATAAGCTCTAAAACTGATCCAAATCTTTGCTTTGCAACGCATACCCATTCCAGCATCTCATTTTCTGGTCTTAGCATGGAGAGTAGTGCTGCAGATCATCAAGACTGGTGCTTCTCCAATGGTTCTCATGGGAGAGCTGCCTCCATTGTGTCCTGAAAGTTCATTCCCTTCAACTAGTAGGAGCAGCGCTGTTATGCGTTACATGGAAAAGAAGAAGACACGCAAGTAAGAGTAGAGCATATCTCTCCTACCCAGCCACCAGCCACAAACACCATCTTTAGTCGCTACCTCTAGCTACTCTCCACTTCATAGGGCTGTTCAAAAATCCGTTCAAACCGGTAATCCGGACCGAATCATACTGAATCATACGGTTTGGTTCGGTTCTATTAAAAATTGATTCGGTTTCGAATTAAGAAATATGAGAACCGTAAAAACGGTTCGGTTAATGGATTTTATGAAAAAACCGTGGTTCGAACCGAACCGAGTCGAATTTTAAAAGATATATATATATAATATCACGTTTTATTTTTATTAATTGGTTTTTTATAATTTTAATGATATTATGATAGTATAGATATGTAGTATTAAGAAATGCTTTAATATTATTAGTTTTTATCATGAGTTAAATGTAATTAGTTTGAGTAATTATTTTGCTAATATTAACAATTTATTCTTGTAAATAGAAATTTTTGGAACCGTAAACCAAACCGAAACCGAACCGTTTTTTCGGTTTGGTTCTGGTCTGGTTTTACAAATGTAACGGTTTGGTCTGGTTCTCAAAATCACAGAACCGTTAGGATCGGTTCGGTTCTTGGATTTTCTCATAACCGAACCAATCCGGACCGTGTACACCCCTACCACTTCATGCCTTCCCACTCTTAACCTTGCTCAACTCCTATTCACTCTTCTATACCTTCACCTAGCCTCTTCCACCTTAGGCACTACTTGTGAGCGGTACTTACATGACAAAGGGAGAGATTGCAAATTGCAATAAAAAGAGAAGGCTCATGACAAAGAAAAAAAGAAAGAGAGAGAGAGAGAAGGAAAGGGGATACTAAAGTAGATAATGTTATCCACTAATAAAAATTATAAATAGAATTAGGTAGACAAATCATGTCTCCTATTTATCCAACAATATTGTGGCCTATACCATAAAATGAAATTGCTCATTGAATATCACTGCAAATAATTAATGCAAAAAAGACGAATTACCATATTTAATTACCCCAAAAAATTTAAAAATAATCGTTAAAAAATTGCAAGAACATAAAGCCAAATATTTTGTCCCATATTTTAATTTTTTTTAATTATTTTATACAAAAACTTCATACAAATTGATGCGGTCTATATATATCCATTCATCGGGAATCAAAATGCCATCACTGGCATTCATCAATGTAAAAAATCATTGTCACATATTTTGTATGAATTTTTGTATACAAATTCTGTATGTTCAGCATTTTCAATCACAATATTGGTGAGCTTATTTGCATGAAAAATGTGGTTGAAATGTTGATGCAATTTTCAACAAGAAATGCAAATTGTTATTATTACAGAGTTGAAATTGTATATGGTATAACTTGCTGGTTCTCACATACCTACCTCTTTATTCATCTCCAGTCCCAACCCAAAAACAGTGTTGTTGAGTTTGTTGAAGATTTAAATGAATTGATAAAGATTCATTAAAAGTCTAACCACTTGAAATGGTACAATTTGATTGCATCGGATTAAAAAAAGTTCAACTATAATCACACTTCTAATTCTAGTTTCCAACATGAATCTGATTAAAAAATACAAATATATAGTGCCAAAGAAGAAAAAAGGAGGAAAAAAATGATCATGATGGATTTTTTTGTTTTATTTTATATACATCTGAGAAGTTCTCCATGTTGAATTGTTGAAAGTAGCTAAAAGTCTTTGTTTTTTTTGGTTACATCGGAAAGAAAGAAACAAACAGAGGAAAGGCTAGGCCCTTTCCCTTGAAATCCCTATCAGATCTGCCAACAGATAGCTTCTCAACTCAGCTGGTGGTTCATTCACCACCAGCATTTCCTCTGGTTGGTCTGCACCCAGCTTGGCTAAGGCATCCGCACACAAGTTCCCTTGTTTCCAGATATGCTGAATGGTGCACTCGCAGCCGTTGAAGAGGATTTTGGCATCCTCCATCAAATTCTGAAAGGGACAGTTGCTTGCAATTGGTTCCTCCATCAGCTTCACCACCTAGGCCACATCCGTTTTGATTAGTACATTGTTGATGCCTTTTTGAAGAAGAACAGTCAGTCCTTTATACAAGGCCCAAAGCTCAGCTTCTAAACTGGTTCCCATCTGCATTTTTCCATAGAATCCACACACCCAAACTCCTCGCTCATCTCTAAGCAGTCCACCAAATCCTCCTTCTCCTCCAGCTCGCCTACAGCCATCAATATTCATCTTGATTTGTCCTGCAATTGGAAATTCCCACTGAATCAGTCTATAGGCTTTCCTAGGCAGAATAATTAAATTAAGAAAAGTTTGGTTGCTCTCTCTGGAGTAATCTAAAATGAATTTGAGGCTCTCTTGGGTACTAGTATTTTTGTTCTTAAACACAACACAGTTTCTATTTTTCCAAATTTTCCAAAGGGCCACTGTGAAGATAGTATACCGAGAGATGTCTCTAGAAAAATGGTTAGTATTTCTAGAATTACTCTTAAGCCAATCTTCCCAAGGTTTTCTCATGAGACTGAAATACCAGTTTTTATCAAAGAGTTTAAGCCACACATCCTTAGCCTTGTAGCACTCCCTGAAAAGGTGGTTAAGGTCCTCAATTCCATTGCAATGAGGACAGGTGGGGTCATTAGTTAGGCCCCTTTTCACCCTCATATAGTTGGTGAGCAACTTCCCATGGGACACAGTCCATAGGAAGGTCTTCAATTTCTGAGGAAGTCTGAGTTTCCAGAGCCAATTCCAGTCTTCCTCTATTTCATCTGTGCCTTGGAGATACACATAAACAGATGAAACAGAAAAGGCACCATCAGGAGTGCCTTTCCATAGAGGAGTGTCCATATCAGAAACATTGGGAGATGGCTGACCCACTATAAGCTCGGAGATGGGAGCTGGGAAGAGAGTTTCAATCTCACTCACATCCCAATTACCATCCTCCCTTATCAAGTCTTTCACATGTAAGCCACTTAGCTCGTTAATGTGCATATTCAGATTCTGGTGTGGGACAAGATCCTCAAAAGGTTTGTCACCACACCACCAATCCTTCCATGCATCCACAGTCGCACCATCACCTATTTTCCACTTCACCCATTTCCAGTGAGTGCTTTTGGTCCTCATTATCCCTCTCTAGAGATGAGATGCTTTCCTGCTTTTGTGCCAAGGGGTGTGTTTTTAAGTACTTATTTCTAAGTACCTCACACCACAGACCTACCTTATTGTTAACCAAATTCCAGCCCAACTTTGTAAGCAAGGCTAAGTTTTGGCCCCTGGCCTTTTTAATTCCCAATCCCCCTTGTTTTTTCACTTTACACACAACATCCCAATTAACAAGATGGACTTTTCTTTTATCCAATGTGTCACCCCAAAGAAAATCCCTATTAAGCTTATCAATAACATTGCTAACTTTCTTAGGGATAAGCATAGTTTGCATGGTATAAGATGGGAGGGCAGCACTAACTGATTTGATTAGTGTTGCTCTACCAGCCATGGATAACACACTAGTTTTCCAACCAGCTAATCTCTTTTGCATTCTCTCAATAACATCATGAAAGTGTCTTCTACTAACTCTACCATAAATTAGGGGAACACCTAAATATATCCCCAAATCATTGGTTAACGAGATACCACATATAGAGCTCAAATTTCTAGCTTTCCTCCTGTCAAGGTTAGGAGAAACATAAAGTTTGGACTTACTGAGATTAATTCTCAGCCCATAAATATCACAAAATTCCTTCATTAGTCTCATGACAGTATTACAAGTAGCCATGGTAGCTTGGCCAAACAGCATGAGGTCATCAGCAAAGAACAAGTGTGTAATATTAGGACCACCTCTGCTAACCTCAATACCTTTCCACTGTTTGTTATTAGCCTGGAGGCTAATCATATTAGAGAGTCGCTCCATGCATAAAACAAACAGGTAAGGAGATAGAGGATCTCCCTGTCTCAAGCCCCTCTGAGGTTTAAACTCCTCCAGAGGCTCACCATTCCAGATAATAGCAGTACTGACACTAGTGACATAGCTCATAATAAGATCAACCAAGTTTTTATCAAAGTTAAATTCTGACAAGGTTTGTTTTAAAAAATCCCAAGAAATAGTATCATATGCTTTTTCCAAATTGATTTTAAAAATCATGCTCTCTTTCCTACCTCTCTTATGATTCAAGGAATGAATGATCTCTTGAGAAATAATAATGTTATCGCAAGTATTACGGCCAGGATGAAACTGCTTTGGTTAGGTCTTATAATTTTGCTTAAAAGAGGTCTAATTCTACTCACAATAAGCTTTAAAACAATTTTATATGACACATTGCAGAGGCTTATAGGTCTAAAATTCTTGATGCTCTCAGGGTTTTCAGTTTTTGGAATAAGAGCAATCAGAGTTTTATTAACCTCAGGAGGGATTTGTTTTTTAGCGAAATTGTTTTTAACAAATTCACAAACATCAAGACCAATAATGTCCCAATAGGTGTGATAAAACAAGGCTTGAAACCCTTCCCTCCTAGGGGCTTTAAAGGCATTGCTGTGTTTCACAACCTTCCAAATCTCACCATCAGATAAAGGCCTAGTGAGATCCAAGTTGTCCTCATGGTTGATTTTACAATTCACCAAGTTAGACCACTGAGCAAGAGAGATAGCTTGAGAATTACTAAATAGATCAACAAAGTAAGAGTTGATAAGGTTTTTGAGTTGATCAACCTGGTCAACCCAATTACCATTATCATCTTTAAGCATCTCAATTTTCCTTCTTCTCCTTTTATTCAGGGTAGTTAGGTGGAAATACTTATTATTCCTCTCTCCCTGAGTAATCCAATTAGTACAAGCTTTTTGGAACCACAGGAGCTCCTCTTGGTATAAGACAGTATTGTGCTGGTCAACTAAATCCAGTTCAAGGTTATGGAGGTTATGGGAGTAATTGATGGCTTGAGATTCTTGTATGCCTTCTATACGTCCCAATAACCACTTTTTTCTTCAAAAAATGTTTCCAAACACCTCATTGTTCCAAACACTAGCCTCATGGCTAAGTGTTTGTAAC